CTTTTGAGATTCCTCCATTTTTCGGATGCGGTCTTCCATAGATGGTCCAGATGTTCCTTCTCCAGCCAGGTTTTGCCCACCATGGTGAAAAGAGGCAGATGCCTGACGTCCCTCATTCAGGGACTGATTCCTAGACATGTGAGAGTTGGAGCGAGAGGCTCCTTGGTGGCGATTGCTATGCCAGTTGGCCATTGAAGTAAAGATTAATATAGTGGGATTGTCGTTCCCACAGACGGCGCCAAACTGTTGCGGGCTAGAATATACGCGGCGATAGAGTTATAATTCTATGTCTTAGCATGCACGGATATCCAGCTCACACACAGAGAACACAATATTTTTTACGTGGAAAACTCGGAAAGGGAAAAAACCACAGGGCCTAGCCCAGTTGAAAATGATTCCACTAAAATTTGAGGAAAGTATAATGGTCTGACTTGTCCTTGAAGACGACAAGATTACAAATATCAACTGAGAGTTTTGCAAAAGTCCAACGTGACTCCACTGTCAGATGGTGGTCTGGCAGCACTCCGGTGTCAGGCGATGGATCGACAATGGCACTTTAGTGTCAGGTGGTACTTCAGCTTCGGATGGCACTTCGGCGACCCTTGGTGGTCCGTTGGTGGTGCGACAACACTCCGGCGTCCCTTGGTGGTCTGACGGTGATGCAGTAGCACTCTGGCGTCCCTTGATGGTCCGGCGGTGGTGCGGTAGAACTACGATGATGGTGCAGCAGTACTCCGGCGATGGTGCGGCAGCACTCCGGCGTCCCTTGGTGGTCCGGCGGTGGTGCGGCAGACCTACGACGGTGGTGCAACAGAACTCCGGCGGTGGTCGAGGAGGAGCTAGGCGGGTATAGCTTTCTTCTTTCTCTTCCTTCTTCTCTCTTGGCTTCCTCCATTTTTCGGATGCTTTTAGATTTAATTTCCATCTCTATTTTTTCTCAAGATTCGTGCTGGATCAAGCCTATTTTTTGGTTACGTATCACAAGTGATTGGAGTAAAGACAAGGTGTGTACAAGAGAGAGAAAATTCACATATCTTCACATGATTGGAGTATATACTAAAAGCTACGTCCGAACTCCACAATAATAATTTCTCTAAATTTTTTGTGCTTTAATTTTTAGATGCAATCATGATTTTGTTTGGCTATTATTTTTGCACTGATTTTAATAAGACACTCACTAGAGATTTCATCATCATTTTACAAAGACTACAATATATGATTCCAGATTTCTCATAGACGCAAG